ATGCGTCGTGCAGTATCGTAAACGGGTTGTCACATTCGAGTATTTATTTATTCTTGTTTATTTAACATCGCTTTCAGTTTCTAAGAGTATATGACGCAGAATGATAGGATGATCAGCGAATAATTAATTGGTAATGGCGTGCAAGGAAGCGGTCATGATTTAACTACAGCAGCATTTGCCCGAAGGGGCAGAGAAAAACCACTAAAAGCCTCAGACACGATAACCAGATTCCGGGCAGAGATTTAAACCCAGACCTTGCACTTAAAATTTAATGGGTGCTGACAATGTAGCATTAATGATATGATGGTGATAATAACAACAATCTTGTAGCTCTTACTTCTGCACCCTTACGAAGCTGTACAGTCCGTTGCGTCAAAGGAAGCAAATTTAACACCACGTTGTTCACGGAAGGTAACCTGATAACCGAAGATAATAAGAACCTTCCCACCGTCGGATCAGTTCTCGAGAACGAACATTCGCAACACGAAACTGAGACTGAACTGTTTTCGCTGTTTCAGCCTCCTTACCCTTACTCCTGACTAGAAAAAAAAAGTACCAATGTTTCCAAACTGTACCCCTTTCCACGTCACGCAAGCGTGTGGTTCCTGTTTCTAGCTGGGAAACAGCAAAACACGACTGCGCAGGTTCTCTATATTAGGGAACCTGGTTCAATCGGATTGGTGCTCCAGTTACCCCGGTCATCCCCGAAACACCCCTATGACCCACTTTGAAAGCTTATAGTTATAACAAAAAAGAAGCTGTAATCTTTCTGGGAACTGGGCCTCAGTACCGAATACCCTGTGCTCCACCCCCCATGCGCGCACACACTAACACACGAAAATCGTAGAATTCACCATTCTGACCGAAATGTTTCTCGGTATTGAAGTAGCCTACATACATATTCCACCACAAACTAATCAATAATCACTGATAATCACTGTGCATTGCAACTCCATACCCCCGAGATATGGCTATTCGGATCCAGAAGGTCCTAGATCGATCTCTCTAAATGTGTGAGTCGCCGTCAGATGGCGACGAGTATGAAAATGGCTGTCTTCTGAGAAGATGCACCGTGTAGTGTGGCAGAAGTTGGCCGACGTTTCAGTGAAGCTTACTGTCTTTATAATCAACATCATCGCCCTGATGATGGAGGCAGTGAACTCGGTGTCTACTCCGTAAAATTTAGAATTAGGGCTGCCACTGGCATATGTTCCATGATAAATACTTACAGACAGTTTCAAGTTGGCCTGAAACATAAGGTGACGTTGAAGAGCTAAATTGCTGTTTCAGACTAATGCAATGAGTTGGAAGAAAATTTCAGGAGTCTTGGAGGAACTTAATTTAGAGGTCTGCACCGGTCTTGGCCGAGGAGCACCGATAATGGTCGGGTGAGGGATGTGTTCAAATGACAGCAACCAAACGTTATGCAGAACATTTCGGGCTTTCTCTGGTTACTTTTTTCGTAAAGACAAAATTATTTGTGTTTGCGCTCATCTTGGGCTCGTAACACAGTTGGGCTAAGGTAACCAATCCCACCGAATTTATTTTATTTGGGATTTTCGTATTTGCTACCTCCCAGAAATAGCTCGAGGTTAGGCCTCACAAACTTGTCATCCGATATCTTTGTACCGTTCCTCAAATGCAAAAATAACTTCACATATTTTAGAGAGTCGATAAATAATTCATTCAAGGATTGCTGGAAATTATGAGTTAAAATAAACAATAGTCAGGGCAGATTATAAGGGCTGGAATGAAAGGATGTCGGGCTTCCACGGGGTAGGGATAACACATCTGAAGCTAAACTTCGGGCTCGGGTCAAATGCTTCTCGGGCCGGACAGGGTGAAATTCTTAAATTTTGGCTCGTCTAGACCTCTAACTTACTTAATTACCCAGTTGCAGCGCGTTGTGACAGATGTAACGAACTCCAATTTCTACTCACATCTTCCTCGCTGAAAACAATTTGGAAGTCGCGTGTCTGGACTAACAAGATAAGAAAGGCGTAGGCCTACTCTAATGTGGATGAAATATATTTTCCGGGTACGGTCTTTGCGATGTCACGTACCTTATTACCCTCGATGTTAATTTATTGTAGAGGTGACTCTTGTAGCAGGGTAATGAGGGCAATTAATATTTATTTCCTGATATTATTAAATGTGTAATCTGATATATATATATATATATTTACTAAAACAAAAATGTACACCTTAAATTTAAATCTGAATTGGAAAGTCATAATGTTAGTTATTTCTTGGAAAAGGGCAAATAATCTGATGCTAGATTCACTTCAGCTTCATGTATGGGAACAGACTTTTGGGGATCACAATCTACTGTTATATTTTTATGATTGGAGATTTACATAGCAATGTGAGTTTAGACAGTGGTTGCTAGGTTGCTAAACTGTGTAGCCTAATGGCTGTCATCAACGTTTTGAAGGAACATGCTACCATATTAAAATAACAATGAAATAATAAGACATCTTAAATGAATGAATTCACTATCTGTGCATTAAACATGGATCAGTAGCTTCCTTACACAATATACCCCACGCAGCAAGAGCAGGTATTTCCTTATCACATTATAACAATGGATTGCTATGTCAATGTTGCATGGTTCCACATAAGTGTAACAACAATCATAACAATAACAATGTCAAATGTCTACCAATATGCTTCGGTAAATCCTTTTCTGAAAAGAATAAAATAAAATTTCAGAAATATTGGAAATATTTTAAGCCCAAAGTGGTGAATAGTTTCAGATGATAGCAGGTAAGCCAGTAAATTCAGCACACTAATTTCCAGTGTTGGATAGCAGGTTACTGAACACATACAATGATCATGATGTTAATTACATATTGTATTCTGTTGCTGCAAACAGGTATACTGATGTATGACCAGGGACAAAATATGTAGACTTATGCAGATAATGAATGTGTACAATTATAACAGCAAAAATCAACATGCAAAATATGGGTATGGTACTGAGCCAAAATGGTCGAGGCATGATTGCACTCCCAGAAAATAACTACCAGAAACTCCATGAACCAAGTCTGCATTAAGCAGTCATTAGCTGTTTGGCTGAATGAGAAATTTCTTAATAGGGCCAAGGATGAATCAACATTATTATGAAAGCCTTAAATTTACACTTACAATTTTATCTACATACACATTTTCTACTATTTTGCAGACAACAACTAACTCCCTCATCCCAAAGAGCAGAGTCCTTCTTGAAAAGCTAATAGCCATATGGACGATAAATCTCCCCACCCCTTATGGAACTTGAAGGCCCATTATGTGCTCACAACTGCACGTCGCTGGATGCTACCAGCTAGATCTAGTCCACACCCTCGCACTGCCATTTCCTTAAGATCCATAGCACATTACCTACAAACTTCTTGATTCAAATTACCAATGCATGCTACATGTTTAGCCCAACTCATCTTGACTTGACCCCCCTTTAGAGTAATTGTTAAAATTGTGCGATGTTCTCCAACTCTTTTGCTTACTATCTCTTGTTCATTACTCTCCTCACCACCCTGTCCTCAAAGACCCTAATTTCTGTTTTTATCTTAGAGTGAAAAAACACAACCTTTACATGTAAATTACAGTTTTGTGAATTTTAATCTTTTTTTATGTAAGAGATGAAAAGGCAAACGCTTGTGAACTGAATGGTAACAAACATTCCTGAAATTTAATCTACTTTTCATTTTATTAAGACGATTTCAATTTGTTACTGTGAGTACAAAATACTTAAACAATGCCAGAGTTTTTAAGGATTTTTTGGACATCTTTATATTATCATTTAATCCTTCACTATGTTGAGAAGCAACATATATTCAGTCCCCTGTGTGTTTATTTCCAAACCCTACTAGGGTATAATATAGTTGCTGTTTTTGTCTTTTGCACAATAAATTAACATCATCAACATAAACCTGAAGTCAATATGTTCCATTCAGTTACAGTCTCTCCTGATTTTATTGGACCTTTCTGGTGGTATCTTCTAAGGCAAAACTGTTTCTTTGACTTTATGTATGTAGTGACACTAACACATTGGTGACTCATACAAGACAAAACTTCTCTGCAACTGTGGGCCTGAATTCTGACTCCAAGAAGTTATTTTCTCATTCTTACTTTATAGTGTGACCAGTAAGAAACTACTCTGCTGAGTCTCTGGGGAGTCATTTATTCTTTATTTAAATTGTAAATTCTAAACTAAAGAATATTCTAATTTAGTTTATGATGATCCTCAAAAGCCTGTTCAAACCAGAGGCAAAAAACTGTTCTAAGATTACTAGAAATCAGGCATGAGACCTTCCAAAATGTTGAAGGATCAACACCATATGCACCAAAGAAATTTTACAGCTGAAACTTTCACAATCCACAACAGATCTACTTGCACAACCACAAATCTACTGGAATTATACAACATAAAACTTGTTTACATTCAAAAACATCAGATTATATATTAATGTGTAGTGTAAAGTCTTCTCACTAATCTTGGCAAGCCGAGCCCCACACCTAATTAAACTCTCAGACTCAGAAATCAAGTTAAGGAAGTATCCCATCATGATTGCAGTTAAAAAGCAGTCTGCATGCTGGAGAAGGATGACCTTGTACGAGCTATGAATAAGGTCATCCAGATTTGTATATATGTGAATCTGATACAAATCTATGAATAAATTTCCATACAAAAAATTGCAAAATAGTGCTTTTGCATACCTTTCAACAGATTATATGAGATATTAACTAAATTTTTATGCCACAGTCAGGATAACAATACACAATCTGGAAACCATGTGAAATGCACAGAAATTAACAGTTACGCAAATTCAAATGAACTTCATAAAAACTTTCTTTATATAACAGACACTGTAAGTAGCAGAAATCATTGCATGGAAAATAATGACTTCATTTTCGTTATCTTAACTTTGTGTAATAAACATATGATTCCAAACAACTTTCACATCAACTACCTGACCAATATTCGATACATAATACTTAACCCTTCCCAGTCACCATGATGACAGATGCAGACACTAAATAGTGAGATGAACAAATACGGTATTTCTGGAATACGACACAACACTTAAAGGTACAAGACGGGTGTCAGAACCTGCTAAGCAGACTTTCAATAATGTTGTTTCCTTGCCAAGATTTAACACAAGACACTCAGTATCTTAATAAACAACAAAGTTTCAGATCATTAAATTACACACAAACAATTTTCAACTGGATGCCACAACGGAAACGGAACTATGTGTCTACTTATGTTTATGTTTATATTTACATACGCATGCGCACGCACTCAAATTCCTGGAGAGGAACATCGATGCCCTCGCACAGCCTTCAGCAGTATCAATTCATAACGTCACACGCACATATTAATTTAGTTACAAAGACCGAGCAAGATGGCAGCAGAATCCACTATTCAATACAGTGTCATCTACAGAGATACACACACACCCTTGCTTTCCTTCCTTCTCTCTCTCTCTCTCTCTCTCACACACACACACACACACACAGACAGTACAAAATGCTGAATAGCTATATCGATATTATACGGCAGCGGTTCAAACCCGCTGCCTGCCGATGTGTGTAACTTTTTATACCATATTCCTTTAATGCACCGCATTTCAACAAACTGTCCTCTGAAACGTTGGTAAACATCGACCAGACTACACAGTGCAACAACCCAGAAGTCAGAAATCTTCATACTCACTGCAGCGAGTCTAAAGATGGCTGTCTTGGGGGTTGTAACACTGTGCCAGCATCAGAGCGACCGCCCTGATGTTGGAGGCAGCAAGAACTTATGAAACGTTTGTAAACTTCTATCAGACTACATAGGGCTACAACCTAGAAGACTTCATTGATATCGCTTGGAAATATGCCTGTGCTTCCATCTGGAGAATGACAGTGGCTGGTGAAGGTAGCAACCTTCAGTTGGTGATAATCGTAACTGTTATTCAACCTATATATAGTTCCTCTCTCCACCGGACCCAACTAAAGTAAAAATTTAAAACTCTGGTATTGCAGAGGAACTTACTCAATTGTCAAAGTAAATGTAAAGAACTGGTTTAACCAGTCTCATTTTTTTATAACACTTGAAGCTTTCACAGCAACAGAACACAATAAAATCTTCTCAGGCAACAAGATGTCACTGGCAGACAAATGCCTAACATTTTAGAGATCATCTATGCCTCCATTATCCCCTGAAATTTGCACTTAAGTAGAATGCACAACTAATAAAACATTGTATTATTCATTTATTTATTGTATTGTTTAACTTTTGACCTTTGTAATCAGCAAACATTTATCACCAGGCCAATAAGACTCATAAAATTCTTCAGTTATTTTACATAATGCCTTTCAGTTCAATTATTATGTCATTATATGTCTAACTGTGACTACTACAATTTTTCATATTGCTTTACATTTGCTGATCTGTAAATGCCAAACTATTAACATATTGTTAATGTTCATGTTGCTATAAGCAATCCTGCTTCTGTATTTTAACCACTAATTAGGCATGGATCAAGTACAAGAATGTGTCATTTTCTGGAGACAGGAATATGGTTGAATGACTCAAAATAGATGTGTTATATGTATAATATGGCTAGCTAGCACAGGAACCAGACAATGATCTTTTCAAACAAAATTATTATGAAGTTTTATTTATGTTCATTTCCTACAATACACAATAAATTAGCTCATAACATGTTGATTATCATTTAAATTGTATAACTTTTTAAAATGTATTTTAATTCATGTGCAGAATGCATGCACAGGTTACAGATGGGATGTTAAGATGGAGAGATCATCATAATGCAATGCCGTTAATATTAACATTTTCCAGGTTAGATAATGGTGATAGGAAAATGAATATTTTATAATTTGTACTACTTATTACTAGTGATTTCTGAAAATTATAATTTTATCTTTGATTGCTGTAGAGGTTTTTGTCAGCTGGATTGGACTGATCCCTTCCTACCTAAAAAGTAAAGAGACAGAATCTTTATTATTTTGTAACTACGGTGAGAAGTAAGTCTAAAAATTAACATACCACATAATAAATGTTCATAACAAAATATGGGAACTTTAATGTGAACTGACTCTTTCAGAGATATGTTTACAGCTAGGTTTCTTCTTTTGTTTAAACAACCAAAAAACTCTCTTGTTACTAAGGAGAATAAAGGTCATTAATTAATACTTCAGCAGGGACTTAAGTAACACTTCAGAGTAAAATAATAAATAAAAACAAAATAATACAACACCAATATTTCCCATCAGATATTTATGTTTTACTACCAAACACAGATCTGAAGAATTCCGTCTTCTCGGTTGTTGTGCTGTGTAGTCTGGTCGATGTTAACCAACATTTCAGGGGTCATCGCCCTGACGACGGAGGCAGTATGACCTCTGAAACGTTGGTTAACATCGACCAGACTACACAGTTCAACAACCCAGAAGACGGAATTCTTCATACTCACCGCTGTGAAAACCTCAAATCCTACAAACACAGATCTGTTACTATACAAAACTGTATGATCCCAAAGAGAAAGTACAACTTTAAAATAAATGGCATGGAGAGCAGACCATTTTTTGGACCACGTAAAAATGAATGTGGCACTACCAAAATTCTCTGAAATCAGAAAACTAGGTTCATACTAAAATTATGATTGACTGTAATTACATAACCTCAAAGCAATGTAACAACATTTCAGTTAGGAATGACCAAATGGACAGGATGGAAATGATAGGAAGCCATCATATTTACCAGCATGGAGACCCCATGTTGACAAACCGGAACCCCCAGTACACAACATCACTCATCATTTCCCCCAACCCGTCCAATTCGCTGCCACAGATGGGATACCTTACTTCATGGCTATTGACGGCAGGATCAGGACAGGAGCACGATGCAGATATGTTGCTGAATATATTTGAGGCAATCTCTTCAGAGGTCACTTTAAGAGGTGGGATTCTTTTAGTTTTGGAATACTCTTCTTGTACCTGTGGAGTAGATGATGTTTCTTGTTTATGTACTGGCAAGGAAGTCTTATCTGGAACAGGTGTAGTAGAACCCTTGGTTGAAGGTTTATCACTATGTACAGATGGTGATGTAAGAAACTTGAAGCCATCAGGCTTCACTGTAAAACAAAATGTATTTCTTACGAAACAACTCTATACATTATTAGTATTTTATTTATCTATTAGTGTTGTTAAGTGTAATTTCAAAATTCCACCACTTTAATATGTTTACTGAAAAGTCCATACAAATGCTTCAGCACAACTGTGTAAACAGAACACAGTGAAGTAGTACCTACCGACAGTCAAGTTGTGTTAAAACACTTTTATGAGGATAAATAATTCACAACAATATTAAGAGGAAAAATGTTGCATGCAGGAATTAATATTTTCTGTCATAAAACCACATAATAATTGTCAAGCTCTGGTGACATTGCCACTTCTTTTAATTAACTAAATTATAACAAAGTTTATAACAACTTCCTGTATGTTGCAGCCAGAATTCAATTCCTGAAAATGTGCATCTAGGTGGTGCCTTTGCGAACTTGAGATGTGTGACCAACACTTACAGGGATACAAGGGGAGATATTATTTCCGGCAAATTATATAGTGGGTAGTAGAGGGATGAGCTTCATGAGACATTTACACATTTTATGTAAATATAAAAACAGTTAGCAAATAGAGTTCTGGCTCTTAAAACTAGCTGCCATTGCATTGTTGCTCTAAAAAATTAGAAAATATTCCACCAACACAGAAATTAATACAACCAGTAGACAATTAATCAACAGCCAATACATTCTGTGTGTTCCTTCAATTTAAACTACATTTATTAACACTGGCTGAACAATTTTATAAAAATATGTGTTTATAATAACAAGTACAGTACTAAACCACCATCTATGCCCAAAAAACAAATATGGCCAAACTTACCATTCTGAATATTACAGAAAGATATACAACAAAAATTAGATATACAAACCTCCATAGATGAAGTTGTATGCAATGGTGAAATAATATTTGGTTATTTGTACGGACTGATCAGCAATTTCTGCTGATTCTCGAGGGTAGCACAGTGCTGCCATTGCTGCTGCACCAGCTGTTCCATAAATTAGACGTTTGAACCAACCACTGCGTAAACCCAATACTAAACCTCCTAAGCCACCTAATCCAATGGCACCTGCTCGATGGACAGTAGTGGCTTCTTCTTGTAGGAAGCTCAGAGTAGCTAAAATGGTTATAGCAGATGTACAAGTACATTACATTTCTAAAACTACAATCTGTAACACAAGATGTCAAGACATATCTTAACATATTCACACATGGTATCTTGGTGCCTGCCTGTCTTACCCAGCTAGCTGTTCTGCAGCAATATATACATCAGCTAACATAATATAATGTCTATCTGGTAGATTTCCAGTGTTCATTTTGCAGTGGGTCTAATAAGGTGTGAGAAAGTGATATTATGTATTGAAACCTGGTCTACTAGTCACCAAAATCACCATGATGCTTATAAAGGAGAACAAGCAACTTTCATCTCTTTTAAATGTTGTTTTCTTTGTTCCCGTTTAACTTACTAATATAATATTTTGTCAGCAAGCACAGAAAGTCAGTTTTTAATGCAAATATCAGACAATGACATCAGCCACTAAATAAATGAATGACAAACCTTTAAATCAGCTTATAGTACTCCTGTTGGCTAGTGCTAGAGGTAGAGGAAATAGAAATTGCCTTCCTGCCATTATACAGGAAACACTGATATGATTTTCTGATTCAAACAAACTACGCTGAGTAAACAATGAGGTTAATAATGGTTCTTTTAAAGTACTATGTAGTGTTTGTCCTTTTGACTTGTGGTTTAAAAATTCTGTCAACAGCTCAGATTATATAGCATCAAATAATAGAATAATTACTAAATTATGAACTGGAAAGGATGTGTGAGGAAACAGTCATGGTCTCACTTAAGGTATTATCCTGGAATTTTCCTGGAGGGGCAGACAAAAACTATAAAAAATCTGAGTTGGGATAGTCAGTTTCTGAACTAAGATTTGAATATGGAACCTCCCAAATAAAATGCACAGCTAATCGTTTAATTACAACATTTTGTGCATTTTTGTGAATATTGTAAATGTACAGAACTTTACCTTCAGTGAAATGGTGTTCATAAAAAAAAAATACAACTGTACTGTCACAAACACATATTTGTAAATTTGAACTTCACTTCCTTGTAATTTAACATTTTGCATACTAATATCAGGTGTAAATTTTACAAAGTTCTCTGTTACAATAGTTATACAATAATTATTTTTTTAAATAATTTACCAGCCCAGATACATAACCCATATCCCTACAATCCATTTTAATATAATTCTTCCTTCCAAACGTGCGTCCCCCAAGCAATATCTCCCTCTGTGGTTTTCAAGTCAATTTTGTACATATTTCTCATTTCAACCCTGCGGGTCAACATGTCCCACCCACCTTATCCTTACCGATATTACACCTCATTAGTACTGGGTAAAAAGTACAGCTTGATCTTCAATGGCATGGAATTCTAAATATTTTCATTATAATGGCCACTTTGAATTCAGCACTTACACTGTGAATGAGCCTTTCCAGTCTCCACAACTTCAAGGACCTTCTGCTGATAGCCTTTGTATTGATCATAAAAGACCCACAGCTCCTTACGGACAGCACCAATCATATGCTCAAGCCCTGAAGGCTCCTCCACTGTTTTCTTCACCCTATACATAAACATCCTAATTGCATTCACATGCAAGTAATGTGTTCAGACACTACAGTATTCTGTACACGGAAGAATATTTAATAATATCATAAAATGAGTTGATATTTACCCTCATATCTCTCATCAGTCTTCCATATTATCTAACATTTTTAATTATTTGATGGTCCTCCAGTCCTGTTTTGGTCTGATAAACAGGACTCTACTGTACTTTAATTACACAAATATTTCATATGCAGTTTTCATAAACAGCAATACAACAAATGTGAATAACCAGAACTCTTTATTAGTTTGTGCTAGTGTCACTCAGACTTCATAAAATTATATTTCCTCACCTTCCTGCCCTGCCTTGTTCACCTCCATAAAAAGGCAGCTCGCTAGGGCGCAGCTTATGAGATGCATGGCAATGTTTGCATGATTCTGTCTTTGAGACATCTTCAAGTGTCTTGCTAATACCACAAGAAGCCTTCTCTTCTGCTGCAGTAAGTGTAACTGCAGAAAATACTGCTCCTGCACATGATGCTCCAGGCACAAGAAATTTTCTGACTATCTGCAATGAAGAAAACTTTCTACATATGTATGTCTGTCACTCACCAGAAATACATAGTACTTTATATTTCAAACACTCCCGTCCAGTTATGTCAAAATATTCTGAAGATAATGACAAATATTACCATTATTGAGCTAATTGAATTTTCCTGTTTTTCAACACTTAAATGCCCTTTCTAAAATGTAGTTTTAAAAGCAAAACTGAAATCGAAGTCAAAATGTTGCCCGATATTATTAAGTTACGGATGCAAGCTGAATCCTATTAAAACTCCAATGATATACAATACGAGAATACCTATAAACCTAGCCCCACACACCCTATTGCCATATTCTTCGCCCTGATGACGGAGGCAGTATGACCTCTGAAACGTTGGTTAACATCGACCAGACTACACGGCGCAACAACCCAGAAGACAGAAATCTTCGTACTCACCGCTGTGGAAACCTCAAATCTTACAGAGAATACACAAGTTTCAACCTCAATGTAAGTTATTACTACAAAATTGAACGAGTAGAAGTGCTATTTTTACTGTTGCTACATTTAATGCACATTCGTACCTTGAAGTGAAACATTTTTATGGGAAAAATTAAATTAACAGCTGAATGACGATTGCACTGTATATTATTTAACAGTATAATACCGTCAATTAAGCAAAATTTTAATAATGTATTATTTTATAGAAATATCGTCCGCCATTTTTGCTGGAACGAACTGTCTTGCCATCTATCTTTGAAGTACATACATGCTCATTACTGGTCCTGCCATCTAACGACCATAGTGCTCACTCAAATGATAATGGTCAAGGACAGGTGGGCCTTGATCGCTTGGACACTGGAATAGTGGGTTCAAAACCCACTCTAGGCATCTAAGTTTCTGTGTTATGTTGTACTGTGACTGTCTTGCATCGAGCTGATCATTCGTCTAAAAGGTCCTACCATATGTCGAAAAAGATTCATCATTTCAGAAGTAGAGTAACTCTGAATTGGGAAAGAAGAAAAAATTTCAGAATTATGTTACTAACCGAAGATTCCAAGACTGGATTTTATTTAATTATTTACTGTAACGATGGGGTGAGACTGCATGTGAAACTGCGGCCGCTAACGGGCCCATTGTCCTTCACCCAGATGATACACAAGTAACTATGGAGCAGCAGTGCAATGATACTGACAGAGTAAAACTGATGGATTCGGAGAAAAACGTGTTGTCACGTTGCCACGTTCGCCACAAAGCGCACATGGACTAGACGGGGCGCAAAAACGGTCACCGACGGTGAATGCGTTTGAACAATATAAGCCTGCGTTAAATGAGCCACGCCCGCTTCTCCCCTATTCAAAACCTATAGGCATAGGATCAATAATTTTATACTACTTCAAGTCAGAACTTGACGCAGTTTCGAAAAATAACCGGATAGGAAGCCGAAGACGTATTTACACCGCGTTGGTCACCGACCCGATGTCTGTTTAAGTTGGAATACTACGAAATTTGTTGAAAATGCATAAGAATACGTATGGAAATATAAACAGGGCCAACATTTACGCGAAAAGTGAATATATTTATGTAGTGTTGCATGACAGAATTCTTTGTCCAAACTGAGAGCCACCATTCTTTTCGTGTTCCTCTGTTTATACAGGATATATGTGGGGATTTCCATCCACTGCATGCAACCTAAAATTAGATGTCGGTTGCTAATGGAAACAAAGTCGTGTAGTAATAACTGGTTTCTTTTCGCAGTTGTGGTAAGAAGTGTTTAAATGTTTTGACAGAGGAAATTAAGATCTCGAATACACAAGTTTCAACCTCAATGTAAGTTATTACTACAAAATTGAACGAGTAGAAGTGCTATTTTTACTGTTGCTACATTTAATGCACATTCGTACCTTGAAGTGAAACATTTTTATGGGAAAAATTAAATTAACAGCTGAATGACGATTGCACTGTATATTATTTAACAGTATAATACCGTCAATTAAGCAAAATTTTAATAATGTATTATTTTATAGAAATATCGTCCGCCATTTTTGCTGGAACGAACTGTCTTGCCATCTATCTTTGAAGTACATACATGCTCATTACTGGTCCTGCCATCTAACGACCATAGTGCTCACTCAAATGATAATGGTCAAGGACAGGTGGGCCTTGATCGCTTGGACACTGGAATAGTGGGTTCAAAACCCACTCTAGGCATCTAAGTTTCTGTGTTATGTTGTACTGTGACTGTCTTGCATCGAGCTGATCATTCGTCTAAAAGGTCCTACCATATGTCGAAAAAGATTCATCATTTCAGAAGTAGAGTAACTCTGAATTGGGAAAGAAGAAAAAATTTCAGAATTATGTTACTAACCGAAGATTCCAAGACTGGATTTTATTTAATTATTTACTGTAACGATGGGGTGAGACTGCATGTGAAACTGCGGCCGCTAACGGGCCCATTGTCCTTCACCCAGATGATACACAAGTAACTATGGAGCAGCAGTGCAATGATACTGACAGAGTAAAACTGATGGATTCGGAGAAAAACGTGTTGTCACGTTGCCACGTTCGCCACAAAGCGCACATGGACTAGACGGGGCGCAAAAACGGTCACCGACGGTGAATGCGTTTGAACAATATAAGCCTGCGTTAAATGAGCCACGCCCGCTTCTCCCCTATTCAAAACCTATAGGCATAGGATCAATAATTTTATACTACTTCAAGTCAGAACTTGACGCAGTTTCGAAAAATAACCGGATAGGAAGCCGAAGACGTATTTACACCGCGTTGGTCACCGACCCGATGTCTGTTTAAGTTGGAATACTACGAAATTTGTTGAAAATGCATAAGAATACGTATGGAAATATAAACAGGGCCAACATTTACGCGAAAAGTGAATATATTTATGTAGTGTTGCATGACAGAATTCTTTGTCCAAACTGAGAGCCACCATTCTTTTCGTGTTCCTCTGTTTATACAGGATATATGTGGGGATTTCCATCCACTGCATGCAACCTAAAATTAGATGTCGGTTGCTAATGGAAACAAAGTCGTGTAGTAATAACTGGTTTCTTTTCGCAGTTGTGGTAAGAAGTGTTTAAATGTTTTGACAGAGGAAATTAAGATCTCTTCCTCTAAAAAAATGCTTTGCTTGTTTGGCATAACTAGTGGACACATTCGGTACCATGAGATTGGAGTGGGGGGTAAAGGCTGAATTCCATATTTTATTTTTATTATTTGGATGTGGTCGCATCCTAAGACCCTGTTATCCTGTTAAAGAGATCGGACCTTTGTAAAAGACTTCATTTTATTTTCTTCATTAGACCTGCTTTTCTGTACAAGCTCGATGAAGAGGATGTATAGGACAGTGAGAGTGGACCTTTTTTCAGGAGGAACCCAGTTCGAATTCTAATGGAGGCACCGCCTATCCTGACCTCGTGATCTTGTGGCTCTCTTAGTTTATCCAAACAATTTCTGGGACTATTGTATGAATTAAAGGTTGTAAAATAATGAAAAAACCTTTGTGTGCAATTAACAAAGTCAAACATATGTTAAGAAAACAATATTATCTAAGGCACACACGGCAGTTTCCCGCGAATTTACAAAGCAATTGAAATGTACAAAACTTGATTTTATATTTTGTTTTTTGTGGGTCTGAAACTTGGTATCTA